ATCAATCGAAAAATACCCTCGTGTGTTCGGCCACTCCTAGCCACCATAAGATCGCAAGGCGCTTGCGATTGAGACCTCTCCTTCCCAGTCCCTTTTGTTTTTCGCGATGTTTTTTTGTATGTTTGTATGTCCTTTTTTTTTGTGCCGTGCACCCTCCCCCCCTTGCCGTTGTGGAAATCTCCCGGATTCAGAATCCTTGAATTTAGCTGGTATGGTACAAGGTGGAAAGGTATACCAGCCGTAAATAGCATGTGCGCCAGCGATCACACCCTTAAAGTCAAAGTTCATACGCCCCCCCCCCCCCCCCTCCTCATCGCGTTCTTCGCTCGATTTTTTCTTTCCCTTGGATACGGGCGGCGCATTCCCTTCTGCTTCAGTAACAATTGATGGGAGGCCTGGCACGCGGGGTGATGTTATCGCATTCGCCCTCAGTGCAAAGGAGATAGGTCGGCTCTTATCTCTGCGTTAGCTGTGTTCGTCGCCCTCGTTCATGCGCTTTAACCTGATTGATTGATATGTAGGGTTTAACGTCCCAAAACCACCATATGATTATGAGAGACGCCGTAGTGGAGGGCTCCGGAAATTTCGACCACCTGGGGTTCTTTAACGTGCACCCAAATCTGAGCACACGGGCCTACAACATTTCCGCCTCCATCGGAAATGCAGCCGCCGCAGCCGGCATTTGACCCCGCCACCTGCGGGTCAGCAGCCGAGTACCTTAGCCACTAGACCACAGCGGCGAGGCGCGCTTTAACCTGCATGTAAACACTATGCACTGGAGGATGTTATCGATTGGGACATCACTCAAAAAATTTTTTTTTGCCCCGGTATATATAGCGCAAAATAACCTTTTGTCTGCCTCGCCCACTTCCAGATCAAGCTCTGAACCCCCCCCAAATATTTTATAATTTCTGGCTACACCCCTGGCAACTGCGAAAACAAGTCGAGAATGTCCATTTAATTGCTATGCTATTCAAAACAAAATGGATCTTGTCTTCGAGTTGTCTTCAGCATATGCATAAGGTACCCTCTGAGATTTTTTTTTAATGCACTGCTTTCTAGAGGACATAGTAAGGTTTTTTGGAGTATAAACAGAATGCCCTAGCCACATAAAATATTTCTGCATAAGGAAAACGAAGTTGGTAAATTGAGTAGTTTCAGCACAGAGATGAGTGCCAGAGGAGGTTGGCTTTCTGAGACGACCTGAATCACTTCGTTTTACGCCCAGCAGTCTAATCAGTCGTTAAGAAAAAGAATCTTTTTTATTCTTGAAGTCATCTTAGGGAAATGCACTTGGGACTGTGCGAGTCTCTAGCATTGTACATCACAGCATTTTTCTACCATATCTGCTGATAATTTCATAGGTGTATTTATATTGTTATTTCATAAAGTACAAAAATTTTATACGACCAGTATTCAGTTTATTTGCTACAGAAATGATCACTGAACAAGTTTTTCGAAAATCTTCAACAGCATGATGCCATTATTCTTGCATCATCAACTGAAATGGGAATGCTTATAAGGTGATTGGTTGCATGAAATTTGCAATCAGTGTAACATTTCTAGCTCTTTACAAGAGCCTCAGAATTATTCTTGATGTCCTTGAATGCAAATGCAACTTGCTTCTCCTCCAGGATTTGAAGTTGGCTGCTCTATATTGCTCCAAAATAGAAAATTTTGCTGCTCCAAAGCGCTCCAAATTAAAATTTTTGCTGCTCCAAAGTGCTCCAAAATGCTCCAAAATGAAAATTTTGCTGCTCCGAAAATCGCTCCAAATCAGAAGACCTCGGTGGCATCACTGAATTCAATTTTTACTAAGCACAACAGAAGGCATGCTTACACAAGGGTCACCCCGCTATTACGGTACACTTTGTTAGCTTCTATGATTTCATGTGAGAGCTGCTCACAATGTTTTATGACAACAGTGCATCTTTCAGTGTGTGCTTCAGAACCACCATTTCTACAATGGCGCCCAACATCACTTTGAACATCAATGTGATAATAGTGCCCATTTAAATATCGTTCAAGCATCTGCATGTTTGTCCAATGTACTGTTTACTGCAGCACAGTGGGATTAAGTGCACAACACCCACAGCACATTTCACAAACTGCCTCTTGTGTTTTGTTGCACAAATGCTCGTTCATGTGGTTTGAGCATTCACAGAGCAATAGTAGTTATTCTGGAGCAGGGAATAGTACAACCTTGACAATCTTTCTTGTCCCCTATCTTTTTCAAGCCTGGAAAATCTTATGTAGGTAAGGGAGCTTATCAGTAGTGAGGACACAGGTTGCCGTGGCTTCAGGCATAATACTTCAGGAATAACTGTGCTGCCAGTGATGATAAGCTAGTCACAGTGCCCCTACCCACATAATATTTTGCATAGCGTGAAAAAGCTAGGGCACAAGGTACATTGTCAAGGTTGTATTCTCTGCTTCAGAAAAACTATTGTTTCTCTATAAGTGGTACCACTGTCGCCGGATAACAAAGAAGGTGCGGCCTGTTGCGTCGCGTTGCCGTTGACGGGGGTGCGTGTCTTGGCAGAGTTGACAGTTTCGGCCACTTTTTTGGTGAGGGCGCTGACTCTCCGCCCTTCGAAGCGGATGACACTTCGTGTTTCAGTGTGGTTGCGTGAGGATTTGTGCATGTTTGTGTGCTTTTTTGTGAGCTTTCTTGTGCTTTCTTTGTATGTCATCGTCTGTGTTGGGGGCAGCTTACCTCATGTTTCTTGTGTTGAACTACGATTCTTTGGTGTGCCCGCGTGTGGCAGATGGTTTTTTGAGTGGCCTGATGCCGCGAAGCTTTTTTGTGCCACCGAGCAGCTTGAGGGAGAAAAAAGACGCCAGTCTGAGGTGCAGCATATTCCCCTGCGATTTACAGTGTCGAGAAGCGTATAGGGGTGTGTATTATTTGTAACAGAGCCCTTGTTTTTGCAATAAATGAGCGCCGATTCAGATGCGCGCCGCCGCCTTCACGGGCGCGCCCAATAAAACATGAAAGCAAGCATCAAAAAATGTGCCCAGGGCATGCCCTTACCCTTTACACACGCGACAGTCAACCAGCACAGATCTGGAGAATTTGAGACATTGAAGCAGGGCCTTTTGTGGGGGCGACCGTCTCCGCAGACGAACCAGCGAGACGAAACCCTTTTTCTAGCAGCTGTCACCATGGTACGTGGTACATGCTGTACTTGTCATGTTTGCGAACTGGGAAGGATGCGAACTAGAGGTGATGAAGGGTAGGGCTGGTAGTGTACTTGGCCAAGAAGTTATGTGCGAACAGTTAGATTGAGCCATATTGCGCTGGTCACCCGATATAAAAGGTTCTAGTGATGCCATGGTGGGAGTACTGTTTCCAAGATTGTCGGCAGGACAACGACTAGCGCTAGAGTTCGCTTCAGTGTTTTCTTGAAGAGAAATATTTGAGACACATTTGAAGAGTTGTGGAGTACACGCGTGTGGCCTTATGGCCGCTAAGTGTTCTTGTGGAGTTTACAGCACGTGAGATTGCATTTTTAGCATGTCAAGTTATTTACCGTTGTTTTAAATACCCTCTCAGTGAGTTGTAATTGATACCAGCCGAATGTTCAAGTTTGTGTGATGCGTTTGCTGAGAATACATATTTTGTTTGTGTTGTAAGCGCTTGGTTTTAACTCAGTCTTTGGATCACTACTGGCGTTGTGGGGCGCTAAAAGGACCTACATTTAAATTTTGCATGCTTTCGTGGTGCGTTTTCGTGGGCCGATAAATCAGTTCTTGGTATCTACCTGGCGATTGCCTCCCCATGAACGAAATCAGTGACCCTTTTCATTGTAGGTGAGTCAAATGGGCAGAATTTAGGAGAGTATTGAGGCCTATACTGTTCACATATGCGTTGTAATAGGCACTCCTAATAACGATTCAGAATCAAGCCTGTGATGTGCAACTACAAAATGTGTTATTTACGGCCTACTGTTGCGCGTAGCGATGCGTGTGAAAGCATTTCTCCTGGGAGGAGTGCTCGGGCCAGAGTGGGCGCAACGTGAACTAGGCCTATCTCAGCACTTCGGCAGCATGCAGCAGGGGGCACATTGTTTTTTATCCAGCGGCCGTGGTGGTACATTGCACAAACAGGCAAATGCTTGAACGAGAATGTAAAGGAGCATTATTATACTCTTAAACATGGCGGTTCAAGGTCATGCTCGTATTCATTGTAGAGATTGAGATTGTGGTTGTGGAACAAACATTGAGAAGTGCACCGTTGTCGCAAAACGTCATGAGCAGCAGCTCACACATTAAATCATAAAAGCTAATAAAGTGTAACATCTGAATGACGTGTGTTTAAGCGTGTGTTCTGTTTCCCTGGCCAAAAAGATAATTGCCTATCTAGCTGTGATGCAGTAGATGTGTTTTGTGCTGATGTCTACTGTTGTTATCATGCTTACATATTTCTAGCACTTTCGCTAATAAAATTTGGTTGAAGTCAGTGTCTCTGTTGTGTCCTTGTTGATTTTGTGCTGTGTAACTACATATGTTGATTCCAAACAACCAACTGCTGTTCTATCAAGGACAGTATGTTATTCTTTTAGCTCCACTTGACACAGTAGCGAAAGCATTGACATTATATCACCAAAAACATTGGCGAATATTGAATGATAGAATACACATAAGTTGTTAAATCATAATGACCAGGGCTCTCCTTACTTGACAGGCATTGCAACATGTATTGTCAAATTTTTGTATTTACTTTCACTGAACGGGCTGTTAGGCTATTTGGCTATCCATGAACACTGACAAAAGAAGCACCAAAACTGATGAGCACAAAAGGTAGAGCAGAGCTGGACTGACATGGGAAGCGTCTGTTCTGTGTCTGCTGTTCTTTTTGTGCTCGTCAATTTTAGTGCTTCTTCTTTCATTGTGTAATTACGGCTTAACTAAGCTTACCAAGTGGATAGTCATTCTTTCACGAACACAAGTGGAAAAGCTGAGTGTTTAAAACTGACAATTTGTTGTATGTTTTGCAGGCGACCAAGTTTCACACAAAGGTGCCCTTACGGGAGGCTACTTTGACACCCGACGATCGCGGCTGGACCTTCACAAGGCACACATGCAGCTCATGAAGGAGATCACTGAAGTTGAGAAACAACTTGCCGAACACAAGCAGAAACTGGCTGATATCCTTACTGTGTGTTTTGTGCATTTTGCGATGAGGGCATTGACATGCCTTCGAACTGCCCTTTTCCCTGTGACGTCTGCTTGAACAATTGTTGCACAGGTAATGTGCTGACCTAGTGGTCCAGTTTTTGAAATGATGGTTTAATTATTTTTCACCACCTATTCATTTTTCAGGAACTTTTCATCACACCTTCATTTTTCAAGAACTTGGTACTCGGAGATAATGGCACCCATGTGGTACCTATACATCACAAGTTCACTAATGCATACATGCCAACTCTTCCAATTTTTCTGTAAAATGTACAACTTTTTTTTTTACAAATCTTGCCTGAAATTTTACAAAAAATATTTCATTTCTGATAAATGAAAATAAAAATAGTAAAATAGCAATTGGCTAGGTGCATTGCCATAGCTATTCACGGAGGCCACAAAAACTGTGTTGTGCTATATTTGGCCACCAGTAGAGAACAATATGTATTGGTGTTGTCATCATTACATATCTGCCAAGTCTTTCGCACTGTCTGGAAGACTTATCCGTCGTGAACTTATTTACAGCGCAACGCCAGAACTTATTTACAGTGCAACATCAGGAAAAACACAGGACAGGGAAGGAGCAAAAGAGAAAGAAAAGACAGCGAGATCTGGCCTCATTGACAAAAATGCAGATCAGTTCATTCTAGGCTTTTTGTGAGCCCACTGCATTTTGTTATAAACTAATTGAAAAGGCCTTCACCTAAATGTACAGTAGTCTCAGTGATGCGAAACCACAGCAGATACAAATTTCTGAAATTTCCCAGCCAAATTCATGTGTCGATTGGGCCAAAATTCAAATGTTCCGAACACTTTTCCTAATCTCGACATGTGATATGAACTTCAGTACCAAAACCGCCGAATGAAGGCCGATCGAGAGCAGCGTGCTCGGAGCTTCGAAAGTACGCGTGCGACCTGTGCATGCATATATCTTCTACAGTGCGTGTAGTTGTCGTTGCCACAACCAGTGTGCAGTCACTGCAGCGCTGCTTTTTACGAACTGTGTGGACAAAACTGCGACCATAGATAGTTTTGAAGGCGCGTGGATTGAAAAAAAAAAAAAAAAAAAAAAAAAAACTACCATTTGCCGCAACTGCCGCGCACAAAACCGCGGTCACGGTGATGCCATAGCAATCTACGAGCTCTGAGGGCACGTGGCTGACACAGCTGTAGATTCAAAGCGGTAAAGACGTAAAAAAGGCTAGAAGCGTTCTGGCATTCCTGTTCAAAAAATCTAGCAGCGAGCAAAGCCAAAGCATTGACCCGGGCTTTCACGATAGCCAGCTGCGCTGTGCCGTCCGTTCACGTGGGAAGACATACGTGAGTTGCTTTGACGGAAATTGATTTTTTTGCTCGTTGTTTTGATGACGCAAAATTTCGGGAGCATTTTCGTTCCCCCTTTGTGAAAGCCAGCTTAGTGGGAAACCCTACTATCGTGTGTTTGGCCACTCCAAGCCATTACGAGACCGTAACGCCAATGTTTGCACTTGTGTTTGAATCTCCTCCTCTTGTTTTTTTACGATGTTTTTTGTTTTTTCTTTTGATGCCAAAAATGGAGAAAACAATTCAGCAGGTCGATTTGACTTATGGCAGCAAAACATAATTACGCTTGTCGTTAAAGGCAAATCCATCACAGCTACAAATGAAAAAAAAAAAAAAAAAAAAACCTCGGTAACCCCCTTTCCTGGCCCCCCTTCTCCGCTCGGGCGTTTTATGAGTTTTTGTGTTGCTAGGTTGGCAGGTATGCATTCGCGACATCTTCGGTCAGTGGACAGTCTTCAAGATCTCGTCAACTGGAGACGTGTCTTGTTTGATGTGGTAGGGAGTGCAGTATCTTTTGGGGAGCTAAGAAAACAGGCCAGTGGTGCATCAGCCAGACTAAAAATCTGTCTTGTGTGTGCAAGGAGCTTTGTTGTAATCAAGAAGGATCTTTTGGAGTCGTGTATAAGCAGGCCGGTTGACAGCCTTCCTTACTGTAATAAGAGACTACAGACCAGCGCTGTGCGCCCTGATCGGTCAAGGCTGTTAGTCAGAAATATTTCAAAAGTACAGTCGAGCGTGATTTGAAGGTTATTGCGTGATCCGCAACTTAGAACTACAACAGTTCCAGATCCTAGAATACACTTTCGAGAAGAGGGTGGTATCACGCAAGCTTCACGCACTTTTTTTGCCGTTACTTAAAGGGCAACTCGCCAGGTTTGAAATTTTTGGATTGACGAGCGCAATGCATGCATGAGGCGTTCACGATCACATCTGCCAAAATTTTCAATGCTACGCGCTGCAGAAATAGGTCAAATTTCAAGATGAACGCTGTTTTTCCTTCTTTTTGCAGGCGCACCCAGAGAATGAGGGCATGACGTAGACATAGGAATTGCGCTACGTGAACGGCAGTGCTGTGACGTAGGTCCTCTACGCAAACAACTTTGCTCAGGCAGGTGGTGAACAATAGAACGGGACATGGAGAAAATTATTTCACAAGACATGTGTAGTTTGTGTAATTTGTAATTGCTTGAATAGATGAATAAAACTTGAGATAAATAAGGAGACACAAAAAAAGATTATACATGTCTTTTTCATCCCCCCTCCCTTGTGAATTCAACGAGATGCTGGGCTGAAGTGCCTGCATTTCGCATGTGTTCGTGTTCCCAGGTGTCCCCGCTTTTAGCGCACCAAGCAGATGCCAGCGCTGGAAACGATATAATGTTCCTGCGAATTCGAGCACTCGATATGCTCCATCTATTCTAGTGCATCTAAACCAGCCTTTTCAATCAAGCACACCGAGATATCCATCCCGCGGAAACAGACAGTAGACCACAAAATGACGCTGGTTGACAGAACAACGCCGCTCGTGTGCTTGGAGGTTGGGCTTGCTCAGGAACGTCATGCGCATGCGACCATTTGCTCGGATGCCGAAGAGGGTAGGGATGAGATTTGGCTTGTGACAGCTACGCGAGGCACACGGCAAGGGTTTCGAGCTCGCCTCCAAGCATCATCCTTTCACGCCGTTTCAAGATGCCAGTTCTCAGCTCGTAATGAACACATTGAAAAATGTTTTGTGGAATAATGCTCTTCATCGGACACACAACTGCCACAGTGTAACTAAAATTTGTTATGGAGCCTTGTGAGTGGCCGTTAAAGCAGCGATCACTCCCATCTGATGAAGCTGTTTAAATGAAGCAGTGCCTAGATACCACCAGCTCTAACACGTCTCTTCAAGCAATTTTGTTATTTTGTTATTTTGTAATCTGCTGTGGAGGTGCCTCCTCCCGAAATATTTGCTTACTATGGCATATATATAGCTCAATTTCAGATGAATGTGTGCTCCCCCCCCCTTAAAATAAAATTTTACCTACGCCCCTGGCGATAGCGAAGACCGGTCCAGAATGTCCTTGTAATTGCTATCACAATAAAAAGAAAATGGCTCTCTCCTTCTAGTCGTCTTAGGTGTATGCGTAAGGTACCCTGTGAGGTTCTTTTTTCTTTATGCGCTGCTTTCTAGACCACCATTGGGGGGTTTTAGGGTATAGAAAGAATGCCCTAGCCACATGAAACATCGCTGCAACTGGCAAACGAAGTTTGTTAAATCAGGTAGGTTCAGCACCGAGAGATGAGTGCCGGAAGAGCTTGGCTTCATCAGACTGGCTAAGTGGCGTCATGTTAAACCCAGCAGTATAATTGGTTGTGGAGAAAAAGAACCTTTCTATATCATAGGAGTCATTTAACTTAAGGGAAATGCCGTTGCGACTGTGCGTGTCTGTAGTGTTGTACGTCACAGTGTTTGTCTACCATATATACTGATAACCACATAGGGGTATAGAATGTTATTTCATGAAGTACAACTTTATTCAACCAGTATTTTGTTTATTTGCTACCAAAATAATCACTAACAAGTTTTTTCAGAATGGCCAACATAACGATGCCATTATTTTTGCATCAATAGGTAAAATAGGCAGTGCTCCTATGATGACTGGCTTCGTGAGATTTGAAATGAGTGGAAATATTTCTAGCTCTTGACAGGAGGCAAAAGCCCCAAAATCATTATTCATGCTGTTGAATGTAGATGCGGCTTGCTTCTCCTCCAGGATGTGAAGTTAGCTGCTCCATATTGATGCAAAATGAAAAATTTTGCTACTCCAAAGTGCTCCAAAATGAAAAGTTTTGCTGCTCTAAGTGCTCCAAAACGAAAATTCTGCCAATCCAATGTGCTCCAAAATAGAAACTTGCTGTTCCAAAGTGCTCCAAAATTAAATTTTCACTGCTCCAAAAATCGCTCCAAATCACAAGACCTCGGTGGCATCACTGTATATGTTTATTTTTGCTTTTAATATTGCATTCTGAATGTGTTTGGACAGAACATTTGCAATTCGACACTTCGCTCGGGAGATACACAGCTTGCGGCTGCCAATATTCACTTCGCACAGTGTGGAAGTGTTTTAAGGCTCATGCACTATTGGTGTCAAATGAAACGCGAGCAGCAGCAATCATTCGTAATGGCATAGTGCAAGCCCTCCAAACATCACCGTGGACAGGTGATCATATGCGCAGGGCTGTCAAACTGGATATGTGCGCATATCAGTGGGGATCACTGCTAAGGGTTGCCACCATTTGCATTTCATTTGATGCTGATGGTACCTTACAGGCTAACTCCGGCGATTTTTTTAGGTTAGTGGATCTCAATGAAATTCACTGGGTATGGTCATTTGCACGTTTGCGCCATTCTTGCCAAATGGCAGGCTTGAGAGTTTTTAGATTCTTTTAAAATGAATTTTATAGCTTGTCTCGAAACGCTCACCTCGCTCGCTAGAATGAATGGCAACATTGTATGTGTGACGTTGAGTTTTGCCTGGCGGAAGTGACTAACTATTGTGCCACTGCAGCGTCTGCTTGTCTGCTATCGATTGTGCGGATTTGGCCAGCGCTTCTTTGGCTGAGTGTGCGATTTCTTTTTCCGTGTTAGTGGGCGTGTGATAGATGCCAAGCGGTGTTGCGTTGTGAGCCACACACGTTTTACCATATATTCACCATAACAGCGTAAGCATTTCAGCCGATTACCGTGGCCGGCGTGGACAGGTAGTGCCATCTGGCGGGCATTATGTGCAATCAGGCAGGTTCCAGAAGCCTCGGGCAATTCTTTACGTCACACATAGAAGCGCACTCGCTCAGGTTTTCGGTTTCGGTGTTCCGGTTTTTCGGTAATTAAAAATTATTCTCGAATTTTTTTAGCATTTCAGTTATCGGGCACGTGAGAAGGGTGTCTAAGGAACATAAGAGCATCATTATCCTGACATGGTAAAAAAAATTGCCGGAATTGGCCTTTAAATCACAGGTGCTTGTAGCTACTGACGACTGATACATGTACGCCTCGGCAGGAAAGTTATACAACTCATCAGCTCGCAAGACGACACATGAAGCATTTTCACTGATGTGTGGCAGAACTTCCAAATCGTTATTCCACATTACATGGCCGGGAGTTTCAAAAGGTTACCATTGCTCCTTTTTGCGCAGCATGGCAATCATAAGCAGCTAAATTTGAGCGCTGAAACACACAACATGAAGACACTGCATTAACACATTTCGTGAGAATGCCACGCTTCTTGATGTAACCAAGATGGCGAGTCATGAAACCCATCTGATTATTGCCACATGTCCAAGTGATTTCGCATAAGGTCTATTCAATGGGATGATGTTGGTATATGCATGCCTTTGTGTGAATAACCATTTTCCTTAATTCAATTTCACATACTGAAAGCCAGATCAACCAAGTTGTCAGCGACATGCAAAAAGCTGAGACAAAGAACAGCAAAAACAAGTAAGCTTGCCTGTTTTGTTATTCATAGTGCAATTGGTTTGACTTGTGTTTCCTCTTCTCTTGACAGGGATGTCTTCGACAAACTTAAGGCTGACATTCGTCTCATGAAAGAAGAACTCACAGCTTTGGAACGCTCTAAACAGCCAAAGGTGCCCTATTTCACTCAGCATCATTTACTTTCAAGCATTTTTTTTTTGTTTCAATTTAGCACAAGGGATCAACAAGAAATCACCCGCAGTGTCGACCCCCATGAACTCCCCGCAGGTGACGTCTGCTGCCAGGCGATGCTTACCCTAAAAAGACTTGCTACTGTTCCTTGTGTGCTGGCCTGGCCTCTCTGCCACAGCAGGCGAACCCTAACCCGCTCGTACACAGCGCCACTTCTCACTTGGCTAATCTGTGAGGCACAAATGACTTCACAGGGGGAAACAGCATCCCCTCAAGTACTTTCCACCTTTGTTTACTGCTGCCTTTGTCCATAATTTCAGGGATTTTTTAACCAGTTTTTGGTGTTTCTGCTGGGCACAAGTCAGGTGAAATTTTTTTTAAAACGCAAAATACCGCTCCGAGGAGCCACGAGAATGTAGGCCGGTCAAGGATGTTAGAACACTCGAGCTTAGTGTAGTTTTAGGGCTGCTGACCATTCTGTTGCGAAAACGCTCTTCGTACTTTACCTCTTCGCCACTGGTGATATGAACTTTAGTACCAAAACCATCAAACAAAGCACAAGAACAGCGGGCTCATATCTTCGGAAGTACTATAGGGGCGGCTTCTACGCGTGTGGTTGTCGTTTTCCCCAGCCACTGTGGACAAAACCGCTTTCGACACGATCATGTATGGCAACGACATAAATGACACAACTCTAACGCTCGACCAGTCTAAGCGACGCCACTTTCTGCAAACACTGCGGCAGATGCGATCATAAATAGCCATAAACTGCTTCGTTTTGAAGGCTCGTGCACAGCCAGCGCACACGGATTCAAGACGAAGCTGCCACGTCCGCTGCGCATGTGAATGCTGTTGCAGCGACGCGATAGGAATCTACGAGCTCCGAGGGCACATGGCTAACGCAGAGGTAGATCAAAATAAAGGCGTAAAAAAGGCTAGAAGCATTTTGGCGTTTTTGTCTAAAGAATCTAGTAACGTAGCGAAGCTGTGACCCATGCTTTCGCAGCATCCAGCTGCTCCGTCCCATCCATTCACGTGTACCCCTGGAAGACTTACGTGAGTTCTGATGACAAATGATTTTGGTAGTTGTGTTCATGACGGGAAATTTTCGGAGTATTTGCGTTCCCCCTTTTGAGACTCGCCCCACACCTCAGTCGGGAAACCCTACCATCATGTGTTAAGTCACTCGAAGCCATTATAAGACCGCAACTCCGATGTTCGTGTTTGTGGGGTTGGTGGGATCTCCTCCCCCCCCCCCCCCACACTGTCTTTCGCATTTCTTTTCTTTTGGTGCAAAAAAAAAAATGCAGACAAAAATCGGCGCTATCCCCCACTCTCCTTCCCCCTCCTTTGCAGGAATCTCCCGGATTCATTCAGAATCCTTGAACTTGGCAGGTATGCATTTCACCTGCTGCAGTGGCCAGTGGAATTTTGTTGAGAAAGCATGGTGTCACAGTATGCTGTACTTGTCGATCATGGCAGAAGTGTACCTAGTTCTACATGCTTGTGCTTGCAGTTGCCAAAGCATTGAGGAAACCGAGATTGAATTACAATTATGAAATGTATTGCAGAGAAACAGGGGGCCTGAGGTCACACGATTAGCGAGTCTTTTGGCTCTGTGCAGGAAAATTGAGAACAGTAATGTGAATTTATCTTTTACACATTCATGTATGTGTGCATAAATCGAGTGTTTAACATGGTACAATTGCTTCAGCGTAGAGACTTGGAGTTTGAAGGTTGGAAAAGTTGGACAAGTAATTGTTCTAAAGGCTGATTTGAGGCTTCGAAGGATGGTCGTAGCTGCTTAAGAAGATGCACTGAAATGCCTTCAGTTAATCACATCACTGTTGTAGCTAATATTCTAGTTGAGACTTGGTGAATGAATTACAATGGCTATGTAGCTAATGTGCAAAGAGTAGGTTTGAGAACACAAAAGCCAGTGTGCTTTGTGGTGGTAAACGCAGGAGCGCAGCCTGGCTAGCCTCGATTCGAGCCTGAAGTCGATGGAGTCAACCGAGCAGTCCCTTCGGTCAGAGCTTCAGCAAGACCTCTTGACACAGCTTTCTGTCACTGACCAGCAAGAAGTGGATAGGCTGAATGATGAAATTCGCCGTCTCACCCAAGAGAACAAGGAGGCCTTCAGCGAGCGCATGCGGGTATGTTGTGTTGGCTTGATATGCTTAAAAGTTTTTTTTCATGTGGTCAAACTTTTGCTGATCCATTTTACCAGTGCTTTGCTACTTATTCGTTGTCATGGGGCAGTTCACACAAATAATTTTTTATGAAAGATTTGTGGAACAAATTGGGGATCAGAAGAAGAACAATAAGAAGGCAGAATGAGATGCCTCACTTTCAAGCAGTTTGTTTTGCGCACGTGACCCAAATACAGTAGACTCCCAATAATGAAAACTTGAAGAAACTGCGGGCATTAGTTCATCTTAGTATTAGAATTTGGACTTATTACAAGTGCCCCCAAAAGAGACATGCTTACAAGCCAAGTGCATCCAAATATGGTACTCGAGAACACTGAATGGAGGAGGCTTACAATGGGGAAAAAATGACAAGAAAAAACGCATATTTGACATACCTTGATTAAAACTATGCCTTCAGGTAGGGTATTTACATGAATCTCATTCTCAATGTTTTGAGCTCTTAAGAAATGCGTTCATAAATGTATTGATGACACATTGTAATGATAAAGCATGCCCCTATGTCGATGATTTCTACTAGGTGATTATTGAGTACTGCCTATTAGTGTGTACTTGTGCCTTGTTCCTATCATGTATGAATTAAAAACAAGTTAGTTAATAAAGGCATTGAATTGTAGATATTTAATTCGTGAATTCAATTATTCATAGAGGTGCTGTTACATTCTTATTCGAATATTCGTGCATCCCTAATCTTTAGTACCATTTCCTGACGTTTCTAAGCAACATGCAAGCTGGTGCCATGGACTTGCACATTGCATATTAAAGCTGTTGCATACTGATTGCTTGGAATGCATACAGTGGAACCCTGCTCATATTTTTTGCTGCTGACCATATGAAAAAGAATGTATGAGCTTGGACATGTAAGAACTGAGAAATGAAAAAAATCGCAAAGTGGACGAAATGCATAGTCAAATTTCAGTGCCTCTTAAAGCAGTGATTCCACTCCTGCAGAAACTGCGCCAAAGAGCACCAAATCAGATTTACTGCGCCATTCTTATGATATCAAAAGAAGTTGCACCAAACTGCGCCAAAGTCTGATTCGGGAGAATGTCTATCACCGGCAATAGCCATGCCGGCGTGTCAGAACATGTACACCTTGTTTTCGGGGCCACCAAAGTAAATCACTTACCTAGAATTATTCCGCTGAATAAACAGCCATATCACTTGTGTCCTAAGTAATCCGCAATGCTATAGACGTCAGACAGGGTAGCATAGGAAAATCGTAAGTGCATCGAAATGTAGTCATTATAACCAATAGATAGTTATTTAAGTGGGTTGGATTGTACTGCAAATGGGGATATGTGTGTGCCGTATTTTTCGGTGTACAACATTAGCAAAACTGAGATCTCCGATATAGCTCTTGCAATCGCGAAGACCAACAACTAGAAAAACCTAATTGTGGTTCCGACCAACATTTTGCGATCTACCTATATAATGTACGTGTAAGCATTCGCTAGTTAAAGTGGGAACTTGCATCTTTAAAAAAATACGTGTGTATTGCTGTGTGTTGGTGACCACTTAAAGGTGAACTCCGGTGCGTTTTCGAGCATACTGAGATAATGCTGCTTTCAAATAGTATTGACTGTCCTGGAAAAACTAGGGTGGTTCATTTTGCCCAGGCACTCGTCAAAAATTTTAATTAGGCAATAAACGGCGAGTCAAAACGGAAACCGAAACCGGGAGCTGCTCCGTCGTCTATGGCGGGTATCGAATGACGTCACGAGATCCGGTACGCCCCGCCACGGCTGGCCAGGGTGTAAACATAGCGCTGAAAGCTAGTTGTCGACGTCATCCCATGCGGAATCATGCTGTGATAGCTCATCTGAACTTATCAGTGACAAGTTCGATGATTGCAGCTGCTGAGTGCGGAAGCATCACTTTTTGCTTTCGACCCACGGGCGCGTGAAGCATTTGACATGCCTCAAATTGATTTACTTGTTGCTCAATTATTGTAAGTCAATGACGACTAACACGCTGTATGCTGCTGACAAAACTGAACTGTGCTCGTGTTGTCGTCGCCTCGTAGAAAAAAGCGCGCGCTGCAACTGTCTGCTGGGAAAGGTGGTATTTTTTAAAAAAGAGTAGTCGTTCACGTCACATACACAGGGTTTGCTGCGTTTACTAGTGTGATTCCAAAATGAGCTACTAATTTTAAAACTTGTTTTCAAAAATACTAAACGACTTACGGTTGTATGATTTGGCACATATTAATGCGGTACCGACGAGAACACGTTACAAATTTTATTAAAATCATTGAATATTAAAAAAAACACGGGATTTCTTTTTTAGGTTATTGGTGGTCGCAGTGTGTGTGATGTTTATTGCGCACGTCACCAGTCTACTGTTGTGCGGTGCGCACCATGGTCAGAGGCTCTGTTGAGCTTCATAATGAATGTTACCATGGTTCTCTGTCAAAACTACTCAAAGCAATAACAGGAAACCTACATTATGACACTTTCTCATGCGACTGGCTGTGGAGAACACGGGTAATTCACCTACTCAACACGTTCGCCGCGGCCCATGTTCAGCACTCTCGCCATTCTGCTTCGCGACAGCTACGGAAATCGCCAAAACTGAAGTCCTTTAAGTTGCGATTCACAACGCAAAACTAGTGCCGACTGAGGTCTCTCTTCGTAGAGCTCAGAGCGGTTGCGTCTGCTTGTGTTTTCGCTGTCATTCAGGCGAGATAACCAGCAAGCACTTCATGGCCGTTCGGTGACGCGCCCGACTAGTAAATTTGTAGCTCTTTCTTTGAGTGTTCAATGCGCTAACACACCGAATATTTAGCTCAATCCTTGTTTCGCACGCTGCTCCTGGTTGCCTTGCAAACCGTGCCGACAGGTGGCGCTACGTGTCTACGAAACTTCATAGTCTGATTTCTATAGTTACAAACGGCGCAAAAACACGAAACACAAAAACGGGCACTGGACTCCCAACTAATTTTTATTCATGTCTACTCACACATATGTCACACATTCATGTTTATTCATGTCTGCTCACACATGTCTACTCACACAGGCACGTGGTAAAAAAAAAATCTGGTAATACAACAGGCAAGGTTTTGTCATTTTGTGCTGTTCTTAACACCAACTCGTCCAACTGTCAGTGCTTCTGTTGTCTATGCTAGGTATTGACACAACCTGTTGTGCAAGTCCAATTAATGATGAAATGCGCTGTCCGTAGAGGCTCATGACATCTAGTCTAATCGGTAACATGAAATTGTGGCGGGGATTAATTGGTAAACGTCCATTCCAGGAATGCTGCTGAAGCTTGTTCGAAGAATTGCATGGGACCTAATTCAAGATTTTTTCACTAATAACTGCACGCGTGCAGCCAGAATGTTTGTCAGGTCTACTTCTGAGCATCACGATCAAATTTTTTATGCTTCATGTCTGCACAAGAACACGTGAACGGTGGGAACAAGTTGACACTTTTTTTTTCAGTATACACTCAAACCTTGTTATAACATAACAGGATATAACGAAATAATGGATGTAACAAAGTAAATGAAATTCTCCTTGAAAGCTCTATTGAGAACTATGCATTTTAAACCTCGTTGTAATGAAGTAAAACTGACGGGTAAATGGATATAATGAACTAAATTAGTCTATCAAATAGTCTACCAAAAAAAGAATTGACCGTAGTATGCTAAGTATATTGTTTTCTGCGGAGTTTGACGCTAGTATGGCGCGGCTCTTTCAAAACTACCGCGCTGACCTTACAGCCACGCCACGTGCGGCTGAGAGAGCCGACCTTCTCACACAGCCAGCGAAGAGGATTGAGGAAGCGTTCAGCGGGTCACATGACCGAGAAGCGGCGCTGTGACGCAAAGCGATTTCCCTCTCCGCGCCTTAAAGAGGACGGCAACGACTGCATTGCCCCGTGTCGCCCCAGAGGCAGACAGAAATTAGGTGCTTCTCCTCTCCAGAATAACCCAATCAATTCTACCCTCTGCATTGAGAAAGGACTCTCCGCGACAGCTTTCTTTTTTTTTTTCCTCTCTCTCCGCATGCGGCCTTGAAAGGAAGAGGGTTTTTATGTGCAGAGACGGAAAAGGGAGAAGTGTTACACAGGCACGTTGCAGATCGGCATTTGAGAGAGAGCAAACAATCCGCCACAGTCTTTTCTTTCCTTTTCTTCTTTTTGTTCTTGGCACACAGCGTTGAGAGGTGCTGCCACGGGATTGGGCATGGTGGTGAAAGCATTTTCGGAGTGCGATATATTGAATTAACCGTCGCAAGTGCTTGCGCGTTTGAATTACAGGGCGTTTTCAGCCATTGGAATGCACATAGCTTTGACGGCACCTCAGCGCGAGTTTGAATTAAGCGTGTTCAAATTAATGAGGTTCGACTGTGTTTATTTTCCATCGCACGGGTCCTTGCATTCCTGGTTCTTTTCTGCTTCTCGAAGACGGCTAGCACATCAATTTCTGCTTGAGTAATAATCGATAGCAGGCCTGGCAGGTGGAGTCAGGTTATGGCATATGTCCTCCAAGCAAGGGACATAGGTAGGCTCTTTTCATCTCTGCTTTAGCCATGTTTGTCGCTCCTGCTCCCGCACTTTTACTCACATGTAAATGACAATGCGCGGGGTGATATGATCAATTTGGACATTACACAAAACATGATGGCCACAACCAGTGTCATAGCTAGGGGGGGGGGGGGGGGGGGGGGGGCATGTTAGTGTTGATGTTGTTAGGCGGGCCGTGAGCATTTGACTTTCATATCTAAATAACCTTATCAGCATTTGCTTTGACATCAGCACAACTTGCCAGACTGCTACGTAAAGTCACCAGATTTACTACTGTGGCCCGATGCCAAGTTAGTGTTGATGTTGGTAGGTGGGCCACAAGAAATTTGACTTTAATATCAAAATAATCCTATTATTTTATTAATCTTATAATCTTATTAGCATTTACTTTGACGTCAGCACAACTTGCCAGACTG